TCACAGTGTCCCATATTTCCTGGATATTTTGTGTTAAAGTATTTGTAGAATTTAACATTTTCTTTGGTCAATGAATCTATTTCCTCTAGTGTTTCTTCAACACCTGAGAATCTCTCAACCATCTGGTGTATTCTGTTCGTTATGCTTGCATCTGTAGTTCCTCATCACTTACCCAGATTTTTTATTTCCAGCATTCTCTGTTTGTGTTTTCTTTATTGCCTCCATTTCAGTTTTCAAGTCTTTAACTGTTTGAATTCTTTCCAACATCTGCTTATTTTTCTTGGCTTCCCTTGCTTTCTTTACGAGATTTGTGGATTTCTTGCATTTTTTGGTTTTTCTTTTCCTCCATTTTTTCCGTTTTTGTTTTTCTTTTATTTCTTTAAGGGATTTCTCATTTCTTCTTTAAGGAACTCTATAATCTTCATAACATTGTTTCTTAGGTCATTTTTTCTGCTTCATCTGAGTTGGAATGTTCAGGTCTTGCTGCTGTAGAACCCCTAGTCTCTGGTGCTGTCATATTACTCACTATGTTGTTGAATGTGTTCTTATGTGTTGTCTTCCCATCTCTTCTTCCAGTGGGTGAAAATGGGACCTCTCCTGGTGGGTGTGGGTCAAGACTCCAATGGTCTTTGCCCCAGTCAAGAATCTCCAACAAGGGGAGAAGGGGGAACAGGAAAAGGCCTGGTGCTTACCTCTCCTGGTTGATGTGGGACCAAGGTTCCAATGTCAGTAAATGCTGGTTGGTTTGGGCTGCTCCCAGGTCTCTGGGGAATCATTTGAACTGTGTGTTCTTTGGGGGAAATAGAGTAGTGAGCATAAAAAGGCCCTGCACACTTAATAGAATTTGCCTCTTTAGAGTGGAAGGTGAACAATTGCCAAATGAGCACAAATTTAAGTGGAAGCAGACATAAGTGTGTTTTGTCAGGGATCTGGAGAATGCTAGTGGAAGAGAACACTTAGCTGGTGTAGTCAGGAAGACCCCTGAGTGGAATGGAGCTTTAAGCAGAGACCTAAGTCAAGTGAAGAGATTACTGTTAAAATGCAAGATGCTTGATGAACTAGAAGGGATGAAGTACATGGTCATTTGTGGCGAGTGGCACACAGTTGGTTATTGCTTAGCATCTGTTCAGTACCTTCACATATATTTCTCATGGGGATGTAATTTATTTATATTTCATATAGTTATTAAGGACTATCTTACCTCTGCCATTTTGTTGTGGTTCATAGTTTTTCTCATTTCTTTCTCCCTCTTTCTTTGACTTCTCTACAGTGCTTGGGTGATTTTTTTCCTAAGAGTCTGTTTTGATTCCTTAATTATTATTATAATTCATATATCTGTTACTGGCTTTTGCTTTGTGGTTACCATGGAACTTAAGCAAAACATTATTGGACTAAAGTAAGGCATTTTTAAATGCGAGTGTGTTAAACACTGATCATAAAATGGGCCAAGTAACAAGAGAATAAAGGAGAGAGAGAAAAAAAAAACCTCTATATGTATATTCATCCATCGCCATATTGTGAGTCTTAATGTCCTGTTTTTTGTCTTTCTATATTGACTATTTCAATACACTAAATATAGTTATTAATTTTGATTCTTCTGCTTTTTGTTTGTATGCTAGACATGTATGACCTATGCACCATGTTTACCATATGTTGGGCCATCCTGAATTTATGTAGTTCCACTTAATTATTTTAAACATCCAGTACTTCCTTGCTGGTTGGCAGCTTTTCTATCCATTTAAAGAACTTTATAATTTTTTCTTTTGTGAGGACATGTAAGGTGTGATAATTTTCTAACTTCTGTTTGTCTGAGGATATCTTTATCTCTGAACCATAGCCTCACTGGGTGACGTATCATTGGTTGATAGTTTCTTTCCCTCTAGATGTGACAGTTTCATCCTAGTACTTCCTTCTGGTCTATAGGGTTTATGCTGAGTGCAGGTAATTGGAATATGTATGTGTGTATGTATGTGTGTTTGTGTACCTGTGTGTACATATGTGTATCTGCCTTATACCCATACACGTGTATGAATATGTGTGTGCTACTCTCCCGTTTTCTTAATAACCTCTTTGTATTTAACCTCTGAGAGTTGTTTATGTTATGATTTGGGGTAGATTTCATTGAGTTGAATCAATCATGATGACCCTTTGAATCAGTTATGGTGACACTGACCTCATGGTTACTGTGTTTTAGTTTCTTTTCCATTTCAGGGTCAGGCAGCTTTCTGTTATTATCTCTTTGAGTGTGCTGCTTCTCTCTGTAACAATCTGCAGACCCTAAGGGTCTGCTCTTCTAATGGGATCCCAAAGTTTCTGTGAACTTTCCTTGCTCTTCATTCTTTCTTCTTTACTCTCCTCTGATGGTCTTTTGATAGCCTACATATTATTTATTTTATTAAAACTATTAATCCATTTATAGTTTGTGTACTTTCAGTTCAAGGTCTACTGATATTAGTGTTTAAGCCACTACAGTATTCTGAGGTTTCTCTGATAAAATATTGAGGTTTTTTTCTCTATGGGTACCAGAACAGGACAATTGTTTAAATAGGTAGCATTAATTAAAATTTGGTAGAAATATAGTTTCTAAACTGGGTCTTTAAAACTTCGAATAATCTTGTTTAAAGCCACCCCCCCAATGAAAGTAATCATAGACATGACATTTCCATTACATCACTATTGCTCTTAACATAAACAGCAACAATATGAACAAATTAATAGAGAATAACATTTAAAACTGTGCAAGTATAAATTTTCAGAAAAGAAACCAGCAGAGTGACTCTTTTAAATAATGAATAAATAATTAGATATTGATGAACCAGTGCATTAATTGTGTTCTGTAATAGTTTCAAGATGTTATAAATTGTCAGTCTATATACCAGGACTACTGATTATCTATGTTTAATTAGACTGACTCCCCAATATGCTTGCTCTGGTATATAAATCTCTAAATGACAACAGAAAAAGTAAAAACCACAGCTTTCTGTTGTGGAATTACAATGTGTTACACTCAGAAGAGAACACCTGCTTTCAGAGAAACAAATAATTTTCCCCAAATATAGATAGGATTCTAAGTTGCTTTAACTGAATTTTTCATCTTTTGTACCCAACAGGATTTTGCTGGTGAAGCTGCAAAGGGAAATAGCTCATGTTTTCTCTTGAGGAGTGATTTTTTTTCAAATGCTTGGATGATGGCAGATGGAAGTGATCTCTGCTGATCACACATAGTTGTGAATTCTTGCAGTCGCTTCATGGTTTTTACTGAAAGTCAGAGTACCTTGCCATCCCCTTTTCTCCAGTGTTCCCTGATAATAAAAGAAATAAAGTGACGGGGAGGAGGTGATGATGGATAAGACAGTGGATCTATGTTCACTTGGGGCTTGATCTAAATGATTTTCACAAAGCTTCCCCACGGCAGGCCTTTATTAGTAGACAGAGTGGATCCAGAGAGAGGGGAGCTGGTACATTCTAGGTTCAGACCTAGGGAGCACTCATTTCCATTCATAGTCCCCTGCAGGTAAATCACAATGGTCACAAACTGTCTTTGGTCTTAAAATGACGGGCTCAAAACACTTCTACTTCTTTCTGTACTGACATGAGCTTACTGACTCCAAGCACTCTGACAGTTTTATTTCAGCTTTTAGTTCCATCTCTGCTTGTCTACACCAAGTTCTAAAAGCAGGGCACTCTAATCTGTCTCCATCCCTTGTATTTCCAACGTTCTGTCAAAAATATTTATAACCAAAGAAGTATTCCAAAACCTGGATGGAGTAAACTGTGAGAGGAGCATGTCTTTCTGAGTGAGATAATCAAATCCTGGAAAATTGTGACTTGATTAAACTTCCTTTGGGAGGGTGGGACTGTACCATGAATAATAAAAACCCAGTGTCAGATACTGGGGTTTAAGCTGATGATCATAAAAGCAAAGCAGCCAGGCCACTACCTCTTACCTCTACCTAAAACCTAAATGGGTGATCCTGTTTCCACCAATTCTCAGAGTGCAATGCAGACTGCACATCCCTCCCCCAAGCCTCAGACTGCAATCCCCTGAGTTCTTGTCTCCTTCCACCATATATTCCCCTCTTTGCCCAGCCATATCGCTCCTGTCTCCACCTCCCTACTGCTGTGATTAAAGGCTTGTGATCCCAACTGCTGAGTTCACCTTTGTGTGAGTTGTTTCTCTTTTAGACTGGATCAACTTCATGTAGCTCAGTGTGGCCTTAAACTAACAGACGTCTGTCTGCCTCTGTCTCCCCAGTCCTGGGATTAATGGTGTGTTCCACCACTGCCTGGCCTTTATAACTAGCTAGTATGACTGCTGGGACTAAAGGTGTGTATCACAACTGCTTGACAGACACTATGGCTGTGGATAGCTTTGCATTTTGATCTCCAGTGGCTTTATTAAATCATATATAATGTATCACCACACTTAGCTGGAGGAAAAAAGTCCAGAAATTATGAGGGCTGGCAAGATGACCCAGTGGGTAATATATTTGAATTTTATTCTCTATTAATTTGTTACTTATTACATACAGCTGCATAAGTCTGGTGCCCTGAGTTATAACCCCAGAGCCAATGGAAAGGTAAAAGGAGAGAAGTGTCAGCAGAAAGTTGCTCTCTGACTGCTATACACATGGCTGCAAGCATGCCCACAAGCGTCCCCCCCAACCCCTCACAGCACACACAATTATAATAATAAGCAAATAAATAGGATTAGAAGTTTTAGCAAATGTATCATCTGGTTCTTTTATGAAATACTTGCAGCATCTTCATGGAACTTCCTGTTGTTGGCACATTGATGTTCACCAAGTTCTCAACTCTTGTTGTGCTGACCTTTTTAGAGATCTTCTCAGGGGCCAAGCTGTCCAGAGCTTCAGAGCTGTCAGAGCTTCATACATGTTAATATAATCAAGATATTTTTGTCACATTGCTTACTGATTTAGGTAATTTAATTTTTTCCACTTGACATATCTGTTTTATTTTTTATCATTTTTTTATTTCAGCTCTTCTTTATGCAACTATTTTTGGAAATGTTACCACAATTTTCCAGCAAATGTATGCCAACACCAACCGTTACCACGAGATGCTGAACAATGTTCGAGATTTTCTGAAATTATATCAGGTCCCAAAAGGCCTTAGTGAACGAGTCATGGATTATATTGTGTCAACATGGTCAATGTCAAAAGGCATCGACACGGAGAAGGTATAGTTGGTTGTCATCATTATTATTATTATTGGTAATCTTCTGCTTAGCATGATATTTTGATGTATGTACATTTCCCATTTCCCTTGTGCAATTGCTTTATAGATGTCACTATAGCTTTTGTAGGTGACATTTCACTCAGTTATATTTATTGAGTACTTAGAAGGTGCAGAGCACCCAACCATTAACAATCATTTAGTACCAGTTATGATATTCAATTGAGAAAATTCAGTTTCTGAAAACAGCTCATTACTCCATTTACATTTGACACTCTCATTACCATTTAGTAATTTTCTACTAAACTTTCAGGGAAATCTCCTATGAGATCTTATTCTTAATTTTTCCTTTGACTTGCTGTCCATTTAAAAATTAGAGGAGGTTGGAGAGTTCGCTCAGCAGTTGAGAGAGCATACTGCTCTTGCTGAGGACTAGAATTCTGTTACTAGCACGCATGTTTGGCAGCTCACAACCACCTGTAACTCCTGCTGCATTGGATCAGATGCCCTCTTCTGGCTTCTGTGAACACACACACACACACACACACACACACACACACAAAGACATTTAAAACAGTATTTTTAAAAGGATAAAACAAAATGAAACTTCCCTGCTATAAGTGAAAAAATTTATATTATCTTCTATCATATCTTCCTCTTAAATGCATTTATCAAATGCATTATAAAATAACTTATAATTCTTAATCTTCCCTTAATCTTTCATACATGTAGTAAAGACATACCCCCTTTTCAGTCGTTCCCATGTATCATTTCATGTCTGTTTATGGGAACGTCTTGTTAAGTTTTCCACTAATTTTATCCTTCGACAAACAAGGACCACTAAGAGAAAATTAAAGTCTCCTCACTTTTCTATGTCATCTGACTCACATTAAATATAAATGATGGCAGCTAGAGCTGACATACAGTAAGGAAAAGCCAATTCTGAGTTATTTTGCTTTAGCACCAGTGAATACTGCTTTTTGTAGAGCACTTACATTTAACACCTGACAGTAAAATTGCAAAATACCTTCCTTGCGATTTCTAGATGGTATGTGTTTTAACCTGTGCTCCCTTGAAGATGTATGTGTGTGTGTGTGTGTGTGTGTGTGTGTGTGTAAGAGAGAGAGAGAGAGAGAGAGAGAGAGAGAGAGAGAGAGAGAGATTAAGAACTACTCTATATAAGTATTTTTGATGCAATGGGGAAATAAAATTTCAAAGAGTAGCAAGAAAGTTTCAAGCCAGAGCAGGTATTGTGGGGGCCAGATTTGATGGGAGGCATAAAAATAATTGTGGAATGTAAGGGAAGATGTATGTGTGCGTGTGTGTGTGTGTGTGTGTGTGATGTGCTCCTTCTTCAATATTTCACAATTTGTAGCACAAATGTTCCAGTTAAATGACCACTGAAGAAAATGTAATGAAAGCATATTTCTTTGCAACTTGATTAATATCCATTGATATGTGGTTCATGGGAAAAAGACACAATCTACATGTTCCATATCTTGGTAATTACACAATGAAAGTAAACCATTCTACAAAAAAGATATCCATACTCCCAGGCTTATTGTTGGATTATTTAAAATAGTCAAAGTGAAAGTTCAAAGAAAATAATAATAATTCTGTCATATATAACAAAATATATGGGACTAGAATATGCTATGATAAATGGTATTAGACCTAGAAAGGCAAGTAACTCATGTTCTCTCTCATGCAGAGAAGCTAAAAAGACAACTTGAGTTTAGAAAGGTGGTTATTAAAGGATGGGAAGGGAGAAGAGGTAAGTCAGGAGTTTGAATAAAGGTATGGAATAACACTTAGGGTTGTTTTTGAGCGCTGGGAAAATAGATTTCAGTAACTCTGACAAATATAAAACTTTGTTGTATATGTGTGTGAAACATGCCATGATTATTGATTCCTTTCAGGTCATTAGGGAAATCCCCATTCAGATCAGATGCATGTTAGCTAGGGCAATTGTGTATGTGATGAGAGGCAGAAACATATCAAATTCTGGGCCTGCAGAGTGGGTGTGGGGGTTCCAGTAATTACATCCTTAATGAGACTGAGACTAAAAACATTTCTTAGACCACATGCATGCCATATGCTACCCAAACAAGAAGAAAACAAAAATTAGCATCCACTTCCCTGATTTAAGTAAAGAATCTAGGAACAGAGCAGAAGACTCCCAAAACTGCTGGGCATTTAGTTAGCTCATAAATAATACTTTAAAATACAATGGTGATGTTTTAAGATGTTGGAAAAAAGTAGCTGGAGAGAAGGCTCACAGGTTAAGGGCAGTACTACTCTTACAGAGGACTACAGTTTAGTTTCCAGCTCCATAATTGCGAGTCACACCTTCTGTAACTATAGCTCTAGGGCAGTAGCTCTCAACTTTCCTAATACTATGACCCTTTAATACAGTTCGTCATCTTGTGGTGACCCCCAACCATAAAATTATTTTTTGTTGCTGCTTCATAACTGTAACTTTGTTACTGTTATGAATCACAATGTGAATCTCTGTGTTTTTGATGGTCTTAGGTGAGCCCATATGAAAGAATTGTTTGGCACCCAGAGGTCACAGTCCACAGGCTGAGAACTACTAATCTAAGGTGATCTTATATTTTCCTTTTGCCTCTGTGGACCTCCCACCACACGCACACACACATACACACACACACACGCACACACACACACACACACACACACACGGCGCAGAGAGAGAGAGAGACAAAGACAGAGAGAGAGAGAGAGAGAGAGAGAGAGAGAGAGAGAGAGAGAGAGAGAGAGAGAGGAGAGACTCTCCACATTAATAAAAATAAATTAAGGAAATATTTAAAAATTTGGGTAGAAATGAAACATCACAGCAAAAGCACAAAATCAGTTTTTATACTTTGTAAAATATTTTTATAAATCAAAAATATTAGACTACTTTGGCAGTTAAGTGTGCCAAAGGCACAGTAATGTTATCTACACATTAAAAACATATCATACATAGAGGTGGCAGAAAATGCCTTTAATCCCAGCACTTGGGAGGCAGAGACAAGTGGATCTCTGTGAGTTTGAGGCCAACCTGGTCTGGATAGTAAGTTCCAGGACAGGCAGGACTGTTTCACAGAAAAATCCTGTATTGAAACAAAACAAAACACGTCCATGTTGGTTTAGTAAAGTAGTGGTTGTAGATTATTTCCCAGTAACTAGCACTGATTTCACTAATACTGAGAATTAGGTAGGTTTTCAGTACCAGACATGATTTTTCCTCTTGTTGAGTGTGTCTTAAGTCCAATTGGAGAGCTGTGGCTACCAGCATGGTATCAATGCCACTAATGTACCCTTAGGGTTATTGTTCCGTGATGATTATTGATGTGGTTCATAGGCATCATAGCTGTGTAGGACTGTTGGTTGCCTCCCTCCTGTGGCAGCTGGCATGGCACCTTCTGGTACTATGAAAGCTATTCCTCAGAGAGGGAGCATTCCAGTTACCAACATGACTCCCGAGATATGAGCTAAGCAAATGATGACACAAATGAACATACCAAACAGTTCAGGGGAAAACCTGTAAGGTATCAATCATACACAGAGAACTGTAAGTAGATGAGGAAAGCTGTGAGTGAGAGAGGTGGTCTTCGCCAGAGAAAAGCATACAAATTAGTTGTCCAGTGCTAAACAATCAACCCTATTGTTTGGTAACATTATATGACCTGAACAGGCTCTATCTAGGACTATATATGTATACATATAAATGCATGCAGTAACAGTTAGTGAAAAAGAAGCTATGTATTTGAAGGAAAGCAGTGGAGGGTATGTGGGGTTTGGATGGAGGAAAGGAAAAGAAAGAATTTTGTAATTCAATTATGATCTCAAAAATGTAACATACAAAAAGGCAGAGAAAGAATATACAAATTAATAAATTCAGAAATGAAAAGGGAGACAAAACAATGGACACTGAGGAAATCCAGAGAAACTTCAGGTCGTACTTTGAAAATATATACTCCACAAAATTCAAAAATTTAAAGAAAATGGACAATTTTCTGGATAGATATTACTTTCAAAAATTAAATCAAGAACAGATGATGAATTTAAATAGAGATATAAACCCTAATAGAAGCAGTCACCAAAAGTCTCTCAACCAAAGGAAAAAAAAGTTCAGGGCCAGAGGGCTTCAGTGCAGAATTCTACCAGTAATTGAAAGAAGAGCTAATACCAATTCTCCTCAAATTGTTCCATACAACAGAAGCAGACAATTCATTGCCAAACTCTTTTTACGAGGCTCCAATTACCTTGGTATCCAAGCCACACAAAGACACAACTAAGAAAGAGAAATACAGACCAACATCTCTCATGAACACTGATGCAAAAATACTCAATAAAATACTGGCAAATCGAATCCAAGAACACATCAGAGAAATCATCCACCATGATCAAGTGGGGTTCATCTCATGGATGCAAGGATGGTTCAACATATAAAAATCTATCAATGTAGTCCACCATATAAACAAACTGAAGAAGAAAAAAAACATACGATCATCTCACTAAATATTGAAAAAGCCAAGCCGGGCGGTGGTGGCGCACGCCTTTAATCCCAGCACTGGGGAGGCAGAGGCAGGCGGATCTCTATGAGTTCGAGGCCGGGCTGGACCGACAGCCTCCAAAACAATACAGAGAAACCCTGTCTCGTAAAACCAAAAAAAAAATATTGAAAAAGCCTTCAGCAAAATCCAACACCACTTCATGATAAAGGTCCTGGAGAGATCAGGGATAACAAATCATACATAAACATAATAAAAACAATATGTAGCAAACCAACAGTCAACATCAAACCAAATCGAGAGAAACGCAACATGATTCCTCTAAAACAGGAACAATAAAAGGCTGTCCACTTTGTCCATATCTCTTCAATATTGTACTTGAAGTTCTAGCTAGAGAAATAAGAAAACAAAAGGAGATCAAAGGGAAACAAACTGGAAAAGAAGTGGTCAGACTTTCTCTATTTACAGATGATATGATAGCTTA